TTCATCGTTTACAATATGAAACTTCCTGGAAGAAGAACTTTGGATTGCTTATCTTTAGCTTTGATCGATCTGTATTTTGGAAAACGGCCTTCTGATCTTTTTGGATTTTCATTGACGAAGAAGATTTGCCGGTGGGAACTTTATATTTTGTATTTGTTATTTATTTTCCGTTGAATTTCAATTAATTTTGAGCTCTCGAAAGAAAACAAACACGAAGAGTGTTGAAGCCCATGAAGAATCCCGGAATACAAGGCAAGTCGTTTATGATGCTTCATGTTTAATGGGTTCGCTCTCTAATAAGGATGATGTTATGTTTGATACTTATTATCGTTAATCACCCTTGGAAGGCACTAAGGAACAAGATTTGGGCGAAAACTTTGAGGTACCGGGGAAGGATTTGATGTCTAGGACATCGGTAGTAGGCTTAGAATTACCAAAGGTTGAACTCCTATTCTTCGACGGTAAACACCGAGATTACTTTAGATTTGTAAGACAATTTGAAACGTTTATAGAACCCAGAGTAAGGGATGATAATCTGCGTTTATTATATTTAATTCATTACTGTAAGAGAAAGGTGAGAAGTGCGATTTAAGGACGCCTTATAATGGAACCCCATGTGGGATATAAAAGAGCTAAGGCAATTTTAAAGCAGCTCTTCGGACAATCGCATGTAAAAGCTCGTGGAACCCTGGACGACTTGTTTAGATCTGGGAATGCGGATTACAATGACCCAGAAAAATTGACGGAATTAGCAATTAAGATGCAAAACGTTGCTCTAACTATGGAACAATTAAATTGTATTGCAGAACTAAATTCTCTGGTAACTTTAGAGCGAATAGTTAGGCTCTTACCTCATCGAATGCAAGTCCAGTGGGCAGAGCTGGGAATCAATTGGGACGAAGAGGAAAGAGAGCCTACTTTCAATGAATTGACGGACTTTATTATGTCTCGTGCTAGGATAGCTAGTAGTAGGTTCGGAAGATTAGCTAATCGCGCTAAAACAGGACATGATACGGAAGCTATTAGTCATCTGCGTGCGAGACAAGGGAATTCTTCAAATGCATTTGCACCTACCTCACGCCCGGAACTTAAGAGAGTTGTTAATTGTATCAGAAAGGTATATCCTCTTGAAGACCGAGTATGTGACCCTGATGGTTTAAAACCCCTTGATGTGTATCCTAGTGAGAAGTCGGTTTGTGTAGCAGATAAGATGGCTTTTTCGAGTATGGAAAAGAAAGAAAAAGGCAAAAAGGGTAGGGATCAAGATGGATCCGAGGTGTGTGATGGTAAAAGCTTCTTAACTGCTCGAAATGCAAGGAACGGTTATTTGGATTCGAGCAAACAGAGGTTAATGAGTACAGTGAATATGAATAAGGACAAAACAGGTTTGGCTGTATGGAATAAAGCTTATGTTCGGAACCCTTCACGTAGGGTAAATTATTTAACAGGACCTAGAGTTGATCCTAGGACAACAAGTGTAAATAGTGACACAGCACTTCATGTTGCTGAGCAATCAGGATGTCTGCGGGCTACTGTATCTAGTTCTATGGAGCATCATGACATTGACGCGGAAGACAATAGCAGCTTAGCGCGTCCTGCTGGTGTTTGTTAACAGTCAACGGATGGACGGTCATATACCAGTCCAAGTAGTCATAGCAACATTGATGGTGTTAGTGGATGTGGCAGCAGTGGTAGCATAGCTTTAAAGCCTGCATGCCAACTATCTTGCAACTCGTCATTAACTGTGAATAGTCGGAACATTATTGTGGACAACAATAACGTCAAGGTGGAAGTGAAATCTGACGTATCTATTAACAGTGTAGTTGATGTGAATAATAAACGTGATGGTAACGATAGTGGAATCTTTATAGATAGTGCTGTTTCTTCGGTTGATGTTGCTAATGTTGCTTCTTTGAGTACTTCGGATCAAGACGAAATTGGATGCTTGAGCGTGGAGAATGTAGGCGTCGGTGGCAATAGCTTTAGCCACAGTGATGGCAGTACTGTGAGGGCTAACATTCGGTACCCTAAGTGTAATGAGGAGTCATCTAGGTCTGATGGACATGCTGTTGTGTTGAATATGCAGCATGAGGAATCGAGCATGGAATTGTCCACCTGTCGCACTCCACCATCATTGACCTGTACTACAGGTATCGGGATGAGCACTACCAACAGTAATAAGATAGATGAGGTTAAGAGCATTCCTAGTAAGGAAAGCAATGTTGATCGAGTAGAGTTAGCCACTGTGCATGAGTCGACTGGATGTCATGAGAAGTGTACTACTGCTTGTACAGATGCAGCTACTAATGATAATAGCATTGATGATACTCCTGCGAGTAATAGTGATCAAGGGAAGTTGAAAGACACTCATCGTCGTCGAAACGTTACGCTCACATGCTGCTACCGAAGCTAAGAAGCATAAGAAACAACCTGATGCTACTATTATTAGGAAGCGTAAACTTCGTTCTCTTTCGGATGCTATGACTAGCAATGGAAATAGTAGTCATCAGGATCTTAGTAGTGACAGCGATAGCAAAGAGACAGAAAGTGTGAGCAGTCCATCTGTAGTGACTAGTCGTTCAACTTCATCGAATGAGCCTTCTAGTGTTTTGACGTCATCGGACCCTGCCACGAATGTTAAGTTGATTGAGGATACACAAGGTTGTGTAACTGTAAGTGTTCCTACTCCGGTTGACTGTCAGTCAAGTGATGATGAGAAGGAAGCGTCTGATGGTAGCAGCCAGTCTACAGTGTTGCATGATAACGATGCTAATGATGTGCATATGTCTTGTGTCTCTGAAACGGAACATGAAGAACAACAAGTGAGTTTATCGGTTTCGGATTACGATACTAATGCTGTTCTTTCATGTAGCGAGATGAGTTATACAACAAGGAAGAGTTTCACTCTACGGATGCCAGTGCAGCCAGAAACAACGCGACTTGTCTGACGCAACGGAATCATGATGACGATGATAGTAATCTGGATGTCACTGATGTGACAAAAGAGTTGACGACGATGACAAATGCTGATCAAACCTCCTCTGTATCAGGAGATGGAGAGTTAGATATTGGTCCCATGTTATGCCACTTAGAGTCTTCAGGAGACGAGGAGATGTCAAAATTGGAGATCCCACCCTTGCATATTATCTACGGGTCAAGATCTTCTGTTGGTAAGTCAGCATCACTGACTTCATTGTATCTGCCGTTCGGAGCAAGTGGTGGTGGATTGACGACTCATCCCCATGATATGGAATGTAGATCCCGGATAGGATATGACCAGCTTTACGACGTGTTGTACATGTTCATGTGGGTTAATTGGATAAGGTTTATACTACCGTTAGGTCATGCTACGATAGATAGGGGAATCAAGGGCCTGATCGGGAGGTACAGGTACCTAGTTAGCTTGATAGGTCATATCCATGTTGGAGGGCGGGTAGGCGTACTGCTGTAAGTCCTACTCGTTCTTCCGGTGTGGATTAGGGGATGAGAGTGAACCCTAAATTGAAGTGTCAGAAAGGGCTTGTTTTTTGCATGGAGGGATTTTGCGGGCCGGTGTAGAATCTATATTGAATGTTTGTTGTTGATTGCTTGTGATGCACATACTTGGATTATTGTTACATATTTATGTCAGTGAAAAGAACCAAGGTTCTTTTGGTCGGGACTGTGACGGGAGAAATCAAGACATTTGGCTGATCAAAACCTTTATATAAATATCAATTATTTCACTGTGTTTTTTGGGTATATTTGTTTTACTTAACTTGTGAACTTGTTTGAATTATTATTTTCGGACATTTCGGTTTCTGTTCGTCTTGGTTTGCTAATTGGGAGTTTTTGCTCCGGGAACCTATAAAATTGAAGAACGACATTTTGGTCGACTATTTATGAATTGCGAATAAACTTTGGTACCTAACTTTGGAGTTTGGTTCTGTTGTTATTGTTGTTGTTGTTGTTGACATACTGTACTTCAATAACGGGAAGGAGCAAAACTTGG